CAACATGAGAGTCGCATGAAAAACCAAATAAAGTGAAGGTTCTTGGACATTATTATAAGCAGCAAAATGAGAAGGTTAAGGGATTTGCTTCTTGTTTCCCGAGGCTTCTGGTTTGTGTGTTTTAAGCATGCTATATTCAGTTTGAAACTTAGGAGCAGCTCCAAAATTGCCTATAAAAATACTGCCCTTTCCCCTACTTATTTTTTCAGAGGTCCCTCAGGCTAACTCTTCAACAATTAAAAAATTGGAATGTGCATTCTCCTGGCCACATACACATTACTGATTACCAGCTGAAATCTGAAGAGCTACTACTCATTAGTTTAATTCAGGTAATCAGATTTATACTTTTTAAACAGAAAAGCATATGGACCGATGTTTTATCAACCAGTTTTTGACTAGGTCTTAATGGTTACCATCCATGATACTACATAACTCAGGAACACTGTTTTAAAGAGCACTGGAGGATGAAAAGATACATTTTATTACCTACATACTCAAAATTGATTTCTATGCATATTAACATGAGAAATCCAACATATTCCCAGGGTGCAGATGAACAAGTTTTTAGTTGATTTAAAATACCCGAAGCCAGGAGAGTTAGAAGCAACAGAAGCAGCATGGAACGGCTTATACAAAGTGTTGCATTTGAAGAGATCTGTCATTTGTTTGACGTAAAGGTTAAGCATAAACGTGAAAATTAATTATAATTAATTATCTGAAATGTGAAAGACAATTCAAAGGAAAAAAAATCCTCTCCTCCAGCCTCATCCCCTCCCCCCGCCTTTTTAAATCAGGTAAAAATTAATATCGAAAAGCAAAACTTTTTTAAGTTTTCAAAGCAGCATTGAAAAAAACCCTGTATTTAGGACAGAAGACCATCGCAATTTTAATACAACCCTTAAATACAGTTACACAAAACTAGAAACATGGACAAATCACGTGTTTCAAATTCTGTTTAAACATCTACAAGTCTGAACAAAATAAAAAGGCGTTGGAGAAAAGTTATTAAGAAACAAGCCAGATTCATCAACTGGTTATCCTGAGTATGTACATCAAAGGATGACTGCAGATCAGTCTTTAAGTTATCTGCTGTTCAATTCTGCAACTTCACATTAGTTCAGCCAAATATTCAGTACTTGCATGACTGCTACAACTGAAAAATAAAGACACCTCCCAGATCTGAACTGACTTCAAAAAAAAAAAATTTAGCTAACACTCCATCCAGATTATTACAAAACTGATCCTATTTTCTTAGCTTTTCCCCCACACAGTTCCCTTATAAAAAGGATGCAAAATAAGTCTGGATATTTTTACAGTTCTTAGACTCACATAGAATGCAAATCTGACCATCTCATCGATACAGGGAAATTTCCACACATCCTTATGTTCTCAATCCATTTATTTTCCATAAATTTTTTTGTTGCACATGTGTGCTTTGTTAACTACACATATTAATACCAGCTCAAAGCCAGAAACATCTTGAAGTAACCATAAACGTATGTCCGCAGCAATAGCTTGCATTGTATTGTATTGTTTGACAGTTCTCCAAGGCTTTTTATGTAGTCCAGAAGATGCAGACATATTTAAATAAACAGGTTAAAAAACAGGCCACATAATTAGTTTTTCCTAGATTCTTCACATAAACACAGTTCACTAAATCACAAGTACAAATAGTGACTTTTATTGCAAAAGCAGTTCATTAAAGAATTTAAGACCAGGAAATAGAATAACAAAATTGATTTTATGAAGTATTTATTACAGAAAAAAAACCCAAGAGGTTTAAGTGATTTTACAGTAAAAATCACAGAGCTTTTTGATAATTGAGGTTGCTATAGTTTATCAGCTTGGTTCGCTGACTGCTTTCATTATATGACATTTTACTAACCTGATTTCATAAAAATCTATGAAAGACTATAATCATGTGAACTTTCAAACAAATAACTTATTTCCTACTACGTAGGCCACAGAGCAAGCCTCCCTGTTTGTCAAAGTATATAAAAAAAAAAAGACACACAGAACAGTGCCAGAAAGATTCATTTTAAATATTCTGCAGACAGTCAGTTCTTTCTACAATATGTAGGTGCTGTAACAAAACAAAACAAAACAAAAAATTAAAAAAATAGCGATGGTGAATGTTTATGCCAAGCATTCAGACAACAAGTAATTGAGGTGATAGTGGTAGGGAAGTTACTGTAGCAGCCTCTAGGAAGGCTTTCAGCTTATGAAATTGCATAGAACACATTGGTTTTTTACGGAAAACAAATAGTCTCGGAAGTCCCACACAGAGGAAAAAAAAGCAATCAGCTTGAAAAGAGGATGGGAAAAAAGGCACAGATATATAAACTTACAGTGACCTATAGATATTCTGTACATCAGGGCATCTAAACTAAAAAGCAGAAAACACAACTTTGTTGCATTTCACCACAGACAAATCCCCCTGGAAAGACAAGAAGGTGGAACAATTCCAACCCTTTATCCAATTTTTTTCTCAGCCTACACCTCACACGTGGAGGCCAAACTCTGAATAAGATTAATCAGTTCTGAAATACAAAGCTTCAGACACTTGAGACAAGTTCTACTTACAAACATATCATTTGTGATTGCACAGGTCAGAGTACATTTTTACTTAGGATAACTCTTAGTCTAAGTTATTCCCTCCAATCTTCACTCGCTGTTGCATGAAGAGCATTTCCCTCAAGCCCTGGACGATGCGCTGGTATCCCCGCTAGCTATAGTATGTACAGTTTACAAATCATGAATGCTTCAGAGGTAAGAAACTAAGACGACACATGCAAGAAGTGCTAGCAATGCTTTCCTGAGGTACAGAGCTAGCTAAAATAGGGCCACATTTATTTTGACATAATTCTTTATCTGGAAGTTCTCACTAGAAGTTATATGGTCCTTATATCTATATATAGATGAGGAAACAATAGCTCTTGCTGCTATAGAGCATTTGCTGTACAGAGGCTGCTGGTAAGCCCTGAAAATCCTCTGCAGAGGTATGTATGTATGAGGAAATATGATAAATACTCACAGGATGTTAATAAGGAGTTAGAGAGATGCACTGATTATGCATCCAGAACCTGAAAGCTTCTTTATTTGAGCTTCATAAGATAGATGATGGTGAACTCAGTGGGTTTTCTAATCTGATTTTTTCTTTTTAGAACTTAATCATTGGAATTCTGGCAGGATAGCTCTTTAAGTACAACAAAATTTCAGCCATTTCATCAAAAGTGATAAGTATACTGCTGCTCTTACTGGCTCCACAGCATTTGATGCAAGCATTTGAGTGAGCAGGGAAGACACTACCGGAACATATCCCAGACAACTGTGTATAATGGTCCACTTCCAGTCATTGTTCTGAGCAGTATGATTACAGGTCAGTCCTCAAATATATGCCCAAAAGAACTACAGAAACCACTAAGAGCTTGTGGATCCAACTATAATCAACCAAAAATCTTTAACAAAAAAAACCCCAAAAAACCCACACAAAAAAAAACCCAAACAAAACACACCACCCAACCACAAAATAACAACAAAACCCAAAAAACTAAACTCAAACAAACAAACTAACAAAAATAAAATCCAAAAAACCCACACCCCAAAGACTGGTTTTCCTCATATCTGGAAGCAATATTTTCAGTAAATTCAGGGATGTTGGTTTCTTCCTGGTTTTTTTACTTAGTTCTTGATTAATTCTTGACGATTTCTCAAGAGTGTTATTTATTCCATATTTTTCTTATGATATCTAGACAATATTTTGCTCTATGCTCTCAGTCAGCTTTTTCATAAAGTTTAAGAAATGCTCATTTCAACAGGCTAATTTGCTGGGAGAGAGGGGGTGACTTCTGGCACAGCCTGGTCCTTGGCATCGGGCACCAGTGCACCCCGCAAACCACCCCATCCACAGCAACAGGAGGAGAGGAAATGGCCTCAAGTTGCGCCAGGGGAGGTTTAGACTGGCTATTAGGAAAAATTTGTTTCCTGAGAGAGTGGTCAGGCATTGGAACAGGCTGCCCAGGGAGGTGGTGGAGTCACCATCTCTGGAAGTGTTCGAAAAACACATAGACGTGACACTTCGGGACATGGTTTAGTGGGCATAGTGGTGTTGGGTTGATGGTTGGACTTGATGATCTTAGGGGTCCTTTCCAACCTTAGTGATTCTATGATTCTATGATTCTACTAGAAATAGTTCGTTCTTGATTACCTTGCACAATTGTAAATAGTAAAATATGCTATCTGTCCTAATTATGTGACTCACGAATGTGGGTTTACTAAGAATGTTTATATAGTCATGCACAAATTTTTTTGTTTAAACTAATCCCTCTCCTAAAATCCAAACCAAGAAGCAATATTAAAAAAAAAATATATAAAAACAAAACAAACCCAAACGCAATCAACTTCCATGAAAAAAGTTAAACATTATTACTTCCACGAACTTTTTTCAAAGCTAAGCTCAAAAGTTCAAATGAAAATTTAAAAATTAAGGTCTGGAGAGATTGCATATTATTAATACACAAACTGTAGACACATTATCAGTCCAGACTGCTAGGAGACTATGATTTTGCATGGGTTCTACAATACACCAAAAGGCTTTCTACTGCACTTGTTACTTGCAAATGTAAACCAAACATATATATCAGTCCAAAGGATATTTGAAGGCAATCCATAAAAGTCTCTGATAGCTTTGCTTTGTGCAAAGTAACAGTAAATAACCTCAATAAATATTGCATTAAACAAAGAAATTACCATTTCACTACCTACATGTTCAGGTACTTAGAGGGTCATGGAATGAAACACAAAACCATCTAAACCAAGTCCAGTTTGGGCTTACAGCACTGCCGCATGTGTTGCAGCAAAGATAAAAGTTTAGTTCCTTCTATAGCATCTGAATTAAGTCAGTAATTTCACCATTAGAATCACAGACCTGTTGGCTCAGCATTTTACAGGAGCCAGTTGAAGCCAAGTCTTAATCCTGAAGTAAATTCAGAAACACTTACCTATTTGTACTTGTTCTGGCTGGCTCAATGATACAAATGCTGATGTATCATCAATCCATGAAACCTGAATGTTACCTAGAAAAGGCAAAAGAAATTATTATGATGATTTTTATCTTAGGCTTAGTCACAGATTTTATCTGATGTGCCATGATATAAAGGAAGATAGTCAACTAACAGTAACTTCACCCAAGAAGGCTTTTGTCCACTGTAAAGGCATGTAGTGCATACACAGTTGTACATGAGCCTGGAACTGTTCAGAAAGCAGTGACTGTTAGGACTGCGTATGCATCCTATACCCTCAGACCCACTACCGTAAGGACCAAATGAAAGAGAGACATGTCTAATACCTTCTTCACTCCCAGAGTATTCTTCTGCTTCTTCATAGTTTTTTTTTTTTTTTTTGTAACAATTGAAGTAATCTTAGGGTTTTTTTAGTTCTCCCTTCATGTGTTCTATATAATTCTACAACAAAAATTGAAGCAGTCTTTTCTGGAAAATTTCAGCTCTGTACTAAAATGAAGAACAGCTCTTTGGGTTTTAAAACCTATCCATCCTCCAGAACTGCACCATTTCCTAGAGATACAGCACAGACAAGCTCCAGTTACCACTCACTGTTCCTTTACTAGTACAGACACCCAAGATGGGGGTGGGGGTAGCAGAAAGATTGTTCACAGCAGTGGAGAACTCCAGTTATTGCAACACTAAATCTTCAAACTCTGGTTTGTTTGGATCACACTATACACCATTTCCTGGATGTGCAATGAAAACTTAATTTGAGTAAATATGAGGACAAATGCACAAAATCTGTGACAATGGAACAGTGACTGGAACTAAGTTCCTCCATTCATCAAGCAGTTAGTCCATTTTCTATGTGAATGGCTTAAAGCATCACATTAGCACTAAAAGAACTCATAATTAAGCAGAAGTGCAGGAAAGGATTCCCATTCTAGACACAAGGTCTTATTATAGTCTGAAATCCACTTACGTCTACTGTTCTCATGTAAGTGCTCTACTGTTTGTTCAATTCAGATATTGAAAATTGCTGCAATTTTTTTCAGGCAGACTTGGGAATCAAGTTATATATAGTGTTACACCACCATTTAACTTTCAGACACTACAAGGTTAAAAACAATGATGCAAAATGGCTGAAAATGCATTTTATTTTCAGATGTTTAATCTATTTAAATCTAATTTACCCTACAGGTTACAAGGTTATAGAAGTCTCTTCTGAAATCCAGCCAGATAATAAACCGATTTTCTAATTATAAAAAATAAAAGCCTAGTTAGATTTAGTTTGCATGCTATACATTTGAGTAGCCAGCTATTTAGGACTTTAAGTTATAATAATTTTAATCATTGCCAAAACCATAATTAAT